CCCCCCCCGGCTGTACATACAGAAATATATCTTGGTGCATACGAATGTTATATGTTCTGACTATCTCCAGCAGCCCAGATGTAAACATTTGGCAGGCCAACCAGATAAAGAGAAATATTTAATTATATATCTCAATAACTATTGGGGCTTAATTGATATTTAATGCTTGTATTTCTCTTTGAGTACTTGGATCAAAGATTGAGTGATGCTTGTACACACCATATCATCATCATCATCAGTGGCTTCTACAGCCCATGTACACACCACCCATGCTTTGACTCTACATCCTTTCTACACACCAGTCATACTGACACTACAGCCCATGTACACACCACCCATGCTTTGACTCTACATCCTTTCTACACACCAGTCATACTGGCACTATAGCCCTTGTACACACCACCCATGCTTTGACTCTACAGCCTTTCTACACACCAGTCATACTGACACTACAGCCCATGTACACACCAGCCATGCTTTGACTCTACAGCCTTTCTACACACCAGTCATACTGACACTACAGCCCATGTACACACCACCCATGCTTTGACTCTACAGCCTTTCTACACACCAGTCATACTGACACTACAGCCCCTGTACACACCGGCCATGCTTTGACTCTACAGCCTTTCTACACACCAGTCATACTGGCACTATAGCCCTTGTACACACCAGCCAAGCTTTAACGCTACAGCCCATGTACACACCACCCATGCTTTGACTCTACAGCCTTTCTACAAACCAGTCATACTAGCACTATAGCCCTTGTACACACCAGCCAAGCTTTAACGCTACAGCCCATGTACACACCACCCATGCTTTGACTCTACAGCCTTTCTACACACCAGTCATACTAGCACTATAGCCCTTGTACACACCAGCCAAGCTTTAACGCTACAGCACACGTACACACCAGCCATGCCTTATTAAACCAGGGCTACAATGTCAGCTGTCCCATTTTCAAAAAATATTTACTGTTGTTTTTTTTAAAACATTTCCCAAAAGACATAGTTTTTAAAATCTCACAGTAAACTAAAATAATTTGTTAAAAGATCACTTTGAATAATGTGATTTTAGCCTGATTAGTGAAAGAGTGAATTTTGTGGATACTTGTTTATTATAGCGTCATTTAATGAGCTCAATGGCTGGGTTTTTTAACAAAGTTGTTCCAATGAACATGAAGGAAAATTAAAATGGGGTCTGGGGTATTAATTAATGTTAACTGTTCACTTTGTTTTCAATTATTCTGGTGGATTTAAAATTATTGTGAACTGATACAAAGAAATTAGGGTTCGTTCGCAAATTATTACGTCACACAAAAAATTCTTTACCACCACACCCCCCTCCCGCCCCCCCCCCCCTTTTCCTCTTAATGGATTAAGATGTAGTAGTAGTGTTATTAGAAAATTGAGACGGGAAACAACGAAGTAATCCACAAGCCAAATGTAAAATGGCCACAACAGTTTTTGCGTCATTTTTCGATATGCGCAGGTCTGCACGACTGAGTTTCATGGTACCTATAAACTATAATATCTTAGGCTATTTCGACCGCAAATTAATGTTTTTAAAATTAATTGAATAAAGATTTTTCAAAATTAGAAAATTTTAGATTTAAAAAAAAAAGAAAGACGTGACTTCACAATTTTTTTTTACCCTCCCCATCTCCCCCCTGACACATAGTGTCACGAATTCTCGATCCCCCCTAATTAGCGAACGACCCCTTCTGTAAGATATCTTATCAGAGTAAAAACACTACACATGCTGAATGCACCGGGTATTTAAAGAATGATGTACATTTTAGCATGTCACAATTAATCATTGTAAACCCCCCCCCACCCCTACCACACATCATCAGTAAATTTCAATCATTTATCATCAGTTTCACGGCAGGATTGCTTTGAACATAAATATCAAATGATTACAGAATTCACACCCAGAGCAACCCCAGGTTAAGGAAAGAGCTCAAAACAAAACCTAAACAAAAGGTCAAATTGAAAAATAACCATCTCCATTTATTCTTAAACTGCTATAACTAAGCAGTTCTTCCATGGCATTACATGCAGCACTGAACTAATCTTGCCAGGCTGTGCTCTCATTGGTGTGCACTCCGACAGTTCAGCCAACAAGAAGTATAAAGTCAATGCATCAACTGACGACTGGTGATTTAAAGTCTGGTGGTCAAATGAACTGAACAGTAAAGACCACTCAAACTCAAATTATCGGTGGACTATTAATTTTTTTTCAAGATTTTTTTTACAAATTTGTTTCATTTTATTTCACTGACAAGAGCTTTGTAAATGAAAAAAAAAAGTCTCAAATTTGCTACATTTCACTTCAAGTTTCAAGTATTCATTGCTAATATTTGTAAATCTTCCAAGATCACTGTATTAATAGTACGTTTGTTTCATTAAAATAACACAAGAGATTTCAAATTGAGCTATATCGTAATACTAAATATATGAAAGTTAACTGACAAATGTTGTACAATGTGTTAAGCAGAATATAAAGCTTGTACAAGACCAAAATAAGCTTGAACAAGACCAAAATAAGCTTGAACAAGACCAAAATGTCTAACTAGACAAAGAGATCCCTCTTTTTTTGTTCCTGGTTTTATTTGTTTGTTTTCTTGCGAATTTGAAGAAGCGAGGGAAAAAAAAAACCCAACCACTATCGAAATGACATCACATGATCAAATGAAATATAACATCAACAAAAATAGATTCTTATGTACAAAATTAGTCTTTACAGTTGATCACCTAAACAAGTAAACACTCATCTCATTCATGCTTTAATTAAAGTGAAACATGTGTAGTGTCGAGGAATAGATGATCTTGTTGTTGGAGTCTTAGTAACACAATGTCAGCCGCATTTATATTGATACAAAAAAAATCATCCCTTTTATATCCATGCATTCCAGGAAGAAAATTGGGGCCGCCTCATACATTCTATGCATTACTCTTATTATTCAGAGCAGGAAATAAGAGCCATTCATGAACATCACAGTTTAGTACAGTTGACAGCACCGCTCACTGTCATTTCATCTCATTAGATCATTCATCATCAAAATGCATTACTATGAACATTAGTGAAGCCAAAAATTATTAACTTTGTTAATGTTTTTATATTAAAAATAATTTATATATTTTTTTTCAATGATAACTCATCAGCTTTCCAAATGGTAATTACACATTTTTTTTTCCTGCCAAGAAAAGGTGTTATGAAGTAGAGGGAATATTTCTTGAATTCAATTTGATCTTTTCCCCTTCTGTATTCACCACCGTTATACAAAGAAAGTAATTTGTTTTAAAAAATGGTTCAGGCAAAGAGCTGGCAATCGTACTTCTTTTCAACTGAGCAGTAAAGACACTGAATTAATTTAGATAAGAGTTCAGTAGCTAATGTGTATCATTATCATCTGATTTATTGACTCCATCAAAACTACTACTGGCATCATCATCATCGCTTCTCGGAGAACTGACCAAGGGACTGCTATAGCTATGATTCAACTGTTGGCTAAAATGCTGAAGCCTTCGCTTGCGTACTTCATGCATGTCATCCTCGTGTCCTTCAACCCTGGGATCTTCCCACTGAGGAATGGTCTCATCCTTAGGCAACGTCACTCCTGTTGCCCCTTCCAAAGGTTTATCTACACACAAAAAAGAATAAATTATATTTAAGAAAAAATTTAAGAAAATGGAAACTGACATTACATTTTAAGTATGCAAGGCTTTAATCACCCCTGAATTTCAAGCATGATTTATTGGTTACCGGTAATGGTAAATTACATTCCTTGCATCCTGTTTGTGTGCTTAATTAGTCAGTGTTAATGAAACAAAATCAGTTCATTAGAAGCTTTGATTAAACTTACAACATACACATCTAATCTTTCATCCGTGTCTCCGCTTACTCCAGCTCCTGGCTTAAAGGCCACACTGACAGTTGATCTACTATAAACTATATTACCCTACCTGATGAGCTAGATGTAAAGCTACTTTTTCTCTCCTTGGGCGAATCTGTAGTTTCTGTTTTGCTCAACGTTGAAGTGTATTTTGGCCTTGCACCTGATCCTTCAGGCCACCAGCTGGCGTTGGTTTGCTGCACAGGTGCCGAGGCATTGGTAGGCCCTGATGTAGAGTAGGGTGGTGGTATTGGTGATGTCTGAATTCCATAGCTCCTGCAATGACATAATTCCTTTACCACAGATGGTTGCTTTGTATGTAAAGTTGATTTGGATGGCAATGACTAGTCATATTAAAAATTTAATTACTTCATAGCAATAAAATTAACTTCACTGATAGCCACTAAAATAATGGGGAGAGGGGGAGGAGGAAACAGAAAGTAATTTCAAATTACCCCGTGACAATAAAACAAATTATATACATTATATCTATAAAACAATATAAATAAATTGTGCTAATCTTTTAATAATTTTTTTTTAATTGCATATTTGAAAGTGGTTTTTATTAAATAATTTTTTGGACTTCATAAGTTTTCAGAAAAGTTCGGTGTGTCATAGAGGTTACTTTCTTAGAAAGATATTTGTAGCGTTCGAAACATTAAAATCATACATTTGCTCTATGAAAGTTTAACAAAATCTTTGTGTTCCCTTTTTCTTCCAGCTTTCTTTTTGTGGTGTTGCTATAAGCCCCTTTCATAATGTGACATAAAAATGAAAAGATTTAAAGCTCCTTTCATAATATGACATAAAAGTGAAAAGATTTTAATACCTTACTTACCCTATGTGACTAGCCACAGTATTATACTGGTTTATGAGTACCATGGCACCATCCAGCAATGCCTGTATGTCTCTCAACCACTGTATCCTAGCCTCTATATTTGCCCTTTCTATTCCTTCCATTGTCAACAGTTCTTCCTCACTGAGACCATCCATGGGCATTGGAGGTGGCGGGAAACCTGAAATAAATATACAATTTTTATCTTTAATATTCTGATAAGACAAGTTTCAGTGCATGCATTTTTCAAAGTAAATAATTTTCTTGCAGAAAGGAATACTTAGCCCACATTGCTAAAGTTATCCATACTTAAACACAATCTGACATGCTTAGTGGTCGTGAAATTGTAGCAGCACAATTAATTATCCTAAGCAAGTGATGGGCAACCAGTATCTGTGACCACTGGAGAAGATGTGGCTTTTTAATTTAAAAATATCTATAAATAGATTTAAACAATCCTTTTCTTAATAAAAATGGCTGCTCACCTAAAAAGGTTGCGGAACCCTGTCCTACCTATGTTTAAAAAAAAACAATAACCTGAATCAACAATTTAATTTTTATTCGTTTGTTCTTTTGATTTAATTTTGCTGTATCTGCTTTGGTGTATCTTTAGCTAACATTAAATTGTGTGCAAGTCAACTCACCAAATGGAGAAAACAGAGGTGAAAACATAGGTGGCATCACAGGTGGCATGAATGGAGGCATGTTTGCAAATGGGAAATTCATAGCAGGTATTGTTGTAGGTGCTGTAGTTGATGTTGCTCCATCATCAGTGGTTGGGGTGGAAGTTGAAGCTGTAGAAGTGAAAGATGAAGGACTTTAAAATTATGTCCAACCAGCTATAGCCCGACAAACAATGGAAGCAGCAATGCATGAACTTCTGATCTACTGAAGTTATTTGACAAATCATGCATTCCAGTAATGCTCTTATAAGCTTCTTAAATAGAGCCCCCCCCCCCTTCCCTGTAAATGACTGCCCATTGAACTAATTTAATATTCTAATGTCCCATCACCATTTACATCGCAGATATATTACACCAACTACTAGCAGTTATCTGGAATTTTATTTAGTGAAATCAACACTTTATAAGATTTGTGATGCCTGGGCACTGTCTTACACTTGTTACAATACTCAAATAGTCTGTGTGATGCATCATAAAATATTGCTTAATTTTCCTGATGTTTAATGAGTGTAAAATAAACACTGACATCCAAAAATCTCAACACAAACATGAGTACCTATTAAAAAATTATGTTTTAGCATCTGTGGTGGTGTGAAGTGAAGAAAATATATTACTAGTAATTTCAAAAATTACACTTAGTATGTTTCCAGCACAGCTGTTACTAGGGATTCAAATAACATACCAGCTGTTGCCTGTGCCTGACTTTCAGCTGAACCACTGGTAGGTGGTGGCGGAGGGGCAGCAGCAGGTGGTTGTTGTTGGGGCGGCCACATGAAAGGTGGAGGGACACCTTGACCTCCGGCGTTGGGTGGCCACTGGAAAGGAAAGCCACCGAACATACCAGGCACTGAAATTTAACAATGATAATCATAGATACTGTACGTTAATTTTCTTCTTATTTCATAATTTTAAGACCATTTATTTTAGATGTGAAGTCTTTTTCACTGTCTTAGCCCATGATAGCACCAATATGAACCTTATACAATTTTTTACATGCTTTCATAAATAGAATGCTTCACCTCACCTGAATTGGAAAAAAAAACTAAAGTATTTATTTTTTAAAGAAACAACTCTCTTAACATTCATTTAAAAGAATGATATAATCATTTACAACAATAAACATATAGACATTTACTGTTTTGAAATGGATTCTGTATCTGTTCAACAGCTGGTTGCTGTTGCTGAGCCGGCTGCTGCTGTTGCTGCTGTTGGGCAACAGCGGCATTAGCCCTAGGCATGCGCAGAACCTCGAGACGACACGTCGGGCATGTCTGCTGGCGCTGGAACCACGAGCGCAAACAGCTTGTGTGGAAAATGTGATTGCAGGGAAGCTTCTTGCACCCACTTGTCATTTCTTCACGGCAGATAATGCACACATTGTCACCAGAACTCAGTTCCTCTGGTGTTGCATCAGGGTAGCTACATAAAAAAAATTTTTTTAAAAAAAAGATAATTGATTGTACACTTAATTTTTCAGATTTTATTACCATTAAGTAAAAACCATAGTCTGAATAAGCAAAAATAAGTCATTTTTACCCAACTGCAAAAAGATCATGGGGTTTTTTAATATGCTACAATATATACTTTAAATAACTTTAAAAAAACGCCCAAAAAATGTTGTTCTTGAATTAAATTTGTTATATAATGATAAAATAGGGTAAGCATACCAAATAAATTTACACAAAGAGTTAAAATTAAACAAAATAATAATACAGCTCTGTCTGATTTATACAGAGAGTTGATGATTATTTTATTATATTCTCTACTTTTCCCACATACAGAGTATTCATATTTCTTATAGCTCTCCTTGAGAGTATCACATCTTGAGCTGCCTTCTGGAATGCTCTGAAAATAAAAAATAATATCATAAACTTAAAATATAATACAATTATCAATTTATAAAAATTAAATAATGCATTTAACAATTTATAAAAATTTAATTATGCAATTATTAATTTCTAACAATTAAGCCCCCTTTTATTAGCATTTAGATAATAATCTCTGAGCATATACAAATCCATAATACATTTCCATAATTCTAAAACAATTGTTAGATATAACTGCATGTAAAAGTTATCTTTTTTGAAAAATAATTAAAATTTACATGCATTTCAAATGAGCAATTATTTCAGGCAATCAAAATTGCGAGACAATATCTCATTAAGCTTAACAAGTTAAATGTAATATTTTACCTGACAGTGAGATACATGGGTCTAATAGCAAACAATGGGAATGTATGAACTTTGATCATGATAAGGACAAAGGCCACGTACAGCACCACACGAATAAGACCTGAAATATAAAGCAGTCTACAAATAGTGACACTTTTAAGGAACTAAGGGATACAAGTGAGAAGATATGTAAAGATTAACTAAGTATTCGACTTTGTAGAACAGAAAAAAAATATAAGTTTGTGTAAATGTGTAAATCTAAATAACTACTCTACCAACCCATGACAAGTTCTGAATAAAGAAGATACACTGCTTTATTATCCCAAGGATTCTGACTTTGAAGATCTATAGAGTGAAGCACATATTTGATGAATGTCATAAGAACTACTGTGAATAGGATTTCGTACTGCAAAGGAAAAGGGTGAGTAAACATTTTATTTAACTATAATCCCATAAGTTATGCATTAAAAAAATTGGGTTAAACTTATGTCAGGAAACTTTTATACAAAATTTTAAACTTTAAGTAACAACAAGATGTACGTACAAAGAAAAAAATAATAACTTTCTTATTTGGAACTGTTGTTTTCTTCTTATTTTTATAACTTGCATGATTTATTATCTGAAAGCAAACCTTTTGATACGCACCTCAAAACCAAAAACTAATTGTACTGAAGGTCCTTTCAACAAAGTTGAGTAAAAGGCGTGCCGTACAAATAATATATCCAATAGTCCTAAAACGAACATCAGAGCTGAAATGATAATTAATATTTATTAAAAATGATCCATATATTAAGCAACAAGCTGCAGAGGATTAAAACAAAAATATATATTAAGTATTGAGGAAAAGGGCGATGAATTAAAAAAAGTCATACACAGGTAAAACTAGAAGGATTCATGGAATCCCTCCCGGCTGTACATACAGAAATATATCTTGGTGCATACTAATGTCATATGTTCTGATCTCATAACACATCGTGTGATAGAATAAGCTTTGGCCTCCAGTTTAACCACACGCAGCATTTTCGTTTCGCCATCATATGAGAGAAAAACCATGAAAATAAACATTCAAGCAGTCGCATTTTACTGATTGATAAGTCAGTATCTCTGCCATTTCCTGCTTTTGTCAATTATAAATCCCCTGAACTAATCGGAATTAGAAAATCAAATGAAAAACAAACTTGAACCAATTCAGACATGACAACCAACACACACACACAAAAAAAGAGGTCATCTCATGTAGTTGCCTAGACTTTCTTCAAAATTAGAAATATATAAAAGAGATTTTTTTTTCCCCCATCCAGCAAAATTACCAACATTGTCATCAATTTAAAATATTTGTAGATAAAAAGCAATAGTTTAAGATTTCTCAAAGTAGGGTAAATGTTTACTTACATAAGGCTCTAATATGGAATAACCAAGAGATAGCAGGACTCCTTTCCATCTTGAAAAAAATAAAAAAATTTTGTTTTAATGATATATGGCAAATATAATTTAAAATTTCATTTTATAAGTGACCGGCAAATATACTCATGCTTGACTATGGGGGAAGGGGGGTGTTAATGGTTTATTGGAAGTCTCAAGTCATCTTTAATGGTTTTTGACTTGATGGCACACAAATTTTTCGTCTCCTGTGAAATGTTACCATTATGTGACACTTGTTTGTTACTATCTATCATTTACTGTGAGATGTTACCATTATGTGACACTTGTTTGTTACTATCTATCATTTACTGTGAGATGTTACCATTATGTGACACTTGTTTGTTACTATCTATCATTTACTGTGAAATGTTACCATTATGTGACACTTGTTTGTTACTATCTATCATTTACTGTGAGATGTTACCATTATGTAACATTTGTTTGTTATAATCTTTCTTTTACTGTGATGTGAGATGTTACCATTATGTAACACTTTGTTACAATCTAATGTTGACTGTGAGATGTTACCATTATGTAACAATTTGTTACAATCTAATGTTAACTGTGAGATGTTACCATTATGGAACAACTGTTTGTAACAATCTACTGTTTACTGTGAGCTGTTGTTTAAATTTGTTGCTGTTTGATTATTTTTTTATTTTACCACCCAACATACCCTACTATAGTATTTCTAATTTATCACCAAATAGTCTTTCATTCACTACGGCTTCTAACCCCTGACTACCATCTCATATGTACATCCACAAAATCCAACACCCCAACCTCATGACATACTCTCTCTTATCATCCCAATTTTCTTCTCAAACTCCTTTTTTTTTTTTTTTAAACGCCACCCTTCAATCGTTCTTCAACCTTACACTAAAACACTGTCACCTTCCTTAAAAACTAGTATCATAGTTGTTCTTCTTCCATCCAATCTATGTCACAACATTTTATTATAATATATGCCAGTATAAATTAATCCCAATTTTCTCCCCAAACTCCTTTTTTTTTTTTTTTAAACGCCACCCTTCAATCGTTCTTCAACCTTACACTAAAACACTGTCACCTTCCTTAAAAACTAGGATCATAGTTGTTCTTCCTCCATCCAATCTATGTCACAACATATTATTATAATATATGCCAGGATAAATTAATAAGTAATCACTGATTAATGGTCATGGTGTTTCATTATTTCAAAATACTTACGCTAATCAAATCTAGCCGCACTATCAACTTATTCTTATGTTCCACACTTCCATCCAGTCTTTTAATCTCCAACTAATTAATCTCTTTTACCTCACCTTCCCAGAAATCCCCTTTTGTGTCAGATCGTTACCACCCACTCCATCAATATCTAAGTGCTACACCACAGTCGGAAACATCTCCCCACTATCCCTTCCCCTAATCTTACCGGCTCCCAGAAAACATTGACCCATGAGTTATCTCATGAAAAGTCTTCTACTAAGACCAAAACTCTTCATGTAAACCACACAACCATCTCAAATATCTATAGAATATAGGTCAGGGTCTATAAATAGTGAAACAAGATAAAGCAATATTTTAAACACAGCCCCCACATTTATTTTATCATTAAGCCACAGTCTTTAGCCCAGTGTCTTCTAAACTTTTGGCCCCATGCTCCTTCTGAGCTTTAAAAAAAATGTATGTCTTCCTAGGCCGCCCACCTTTTCCCAGCGGTAGAGTTTAAAAAAAAAGGAAATTTTGAATTTCAATTTCGCGATCTATTTATTTAGACTGTGAGATTCAACATTTTATGATTTAAAACTTAGAATAAGTGCAATATATTTGTATTTCAATAAATCAAAAACAATCAAAATGGTCAAAAATAAATAGTGTCATAACATCACCCCTCCCGATTTTTCCAATTACTTTTCCAATGTCTCAGATACTTAATTAGAAGCGGGGCAATTTGGTAGATAACCACATTTGCCGGCTGCGCTCTTGTCTGTCTTGTCTCTATCTCTTTATTATTATTGTTATTATTTTTGGTGTTTTTATATAGTGTAAAACCCACCACGCTGTACATACAATTTAACAAACATAATCATGAACTTAAAAATTAACATACATGAATTTAATTTAAAAAAACAAATATATATTTACTCCACACATTCAAGAAATATTTACATGTCAAATCCCTTTTTCCATCTTCTGTGACAATGCTTAAAAAATTTTTAAACTCCTAGTTTTGACGGATCATCTGACCACTGAAAGTTAAATCAGTTCTTTTGGGAACATGCCAACTTAAATGACCTTGGTCTTTGCTTTGCTTATTTTCATTCCATAAATTAAATTTAGCAGGTAATGTTCAGGATGTCAACATGAAAATAATTTGAATTTTTATAAAAACACGATTAACAAAGGACAATTACATTGTCATTTTTCAGGAAACAAATATAAAAATATTAGTGGTAGCATTGTATAAAAGTTATATGCAATATGCATACCTCAGAAAACAAAAGACTTCCTTAATTTTTTATGCTTAAGGCTGCCCCTTAAAAGTTGTCGCACGGTCCAGTTTCTTAATAAAGCAAACTAAATCAGCGAAACCAGTACCAAGTTTTTGTTTTTACCATTTAAAGAAATAATAATGTCGAATCCAACACAATAATCATATGTAATTGAAAGATGAAAGGGTCTTCATCACTTGTTTTTGGTAATATTAAACTTTAGCTACTTGGTTTAAAAACATATATATATATATACAAATTCAGGTTTTTATGTTCACAAAAATAACAATTCATTGTGCTTAAAGCACTAACTCATGTTAGGATGACAATGAACACCAGTGATGTCATGTGTTTTAAGAATTTTCTACTAATTGATTTTCCTGTTTAGCCATGCATGGTTCTCCTGAATCCCTTTTGCAATCTGACCCACCAGTCCCCCCCCCCCCCCCCCCTCTGTCTCCAGGGAGACTTTTTAGAATGTACAATTTTTCTAGGGATCTCGATGATGGTATCAGCCTCAATGTTGTCAAGCTTCAAGTTTCTTGGGTGATAGGAAGTGGTCCATTAAATTTGATTCTTGTTTGTGATTGATAGTGATATATATTGCTACACCTGCTTTTATAGTATAGATCCAACCGTAATGGTTCTTATAAAAAAATATACAGAATCATCCTCTGAAGGATTTCAACATTTTGTTTTTAGTGATTTGACATAAGTTAAATACATTCCAAAAAAAATGAGCCTTTTTTTACTTACATAATCTATTCTGTCTTCTGCTAACCAATGGAAGCATTTGAGAAATAAAAGCAGTGTAAAAAGAGCAACAAAGCGTGGACTGAAGTCATCTCTAAATACAGTGAAGGCTAAGCAGGTTTCAGTGACTGCATACCAAGAGCGCTCTATGAGGTGCTGTGATAAAAAAAAAAGCAATACGTAAAAATAAAACACTGACAAATTTTAAGCAATAATATGTTCTGTATAATTTTTAAAAAGTGTTAAATTTTAATCTATTATGGGTTTCTACCAAAAATGGTCTCTATCTTCTCCCATCCAGAACCACATAAATTTAGTTCAGATTGGTATTTGACCTAAAAAAGGTATAAGACAAAGAGTTATTTGCTAATTTATTGTCCTAAAATATATATCAATAGAAAGCAATATGCAATCAAGACGATATCAGTGCAAAATTGTTTTGCTCTTAATTCAATGAATCCAAATTAGAAATAACTTGACTTGAAAATTGACTTGAAATACTGCAGCTGAGGGTGCAGAGTCATTGAAAGAAACATCATCCGGACAACAATTAAAAGGCCAATAGGGACCAGACAGCAATATGTTCTTAAAATACTGAGGAGATACTGGTAACTACTCAATTATTACCACCTTCCAGTGGGAAGGTATGGACTTAAAGCATTATGAAGCTGTTGCCAAAGAAATCAACAAGCTGATCATTGTCTGATTTAGAGAATGAGAATACTCTTCTGATAAGTCAGTGTTGAACCCTTAGAGTGTTTAGGAAAGCTAGTCCACTAAGACAATAAAACAATCTAAATTTCATGGCATTTGATGAAAATTAATATTTTTTGCAAAAATAATTATAAAATGTCCAGCATTAAAATTGTATAAAGTCGCCAGTAAATAATATGGCAATTTCAATGCTAAATACTACAATATGACACTGTTAATTCATAGCATTAAAAACAACTGTCATTTTAAACAGACTATAACTTTCAATTTGTATGAAAGAATTAATCATAACTTCAATGGCATCCTCTGAGCCATCAAATAAACTTACAAAAGCATCTTTTAAGTACTAACTAACTTACTTAAGAAAATCAGCAGACACCGAGCCGAGGCTCATATGGTCTCCCCCGACGTCCCACCCCGCCAACCCAACCGGCCATCAACCACTCCCCCAGTGGTCTTTATTCCGATCGGGTCGCGAAGCGGCACGCCAGGGACATTTTGCCCCTGAGACAGCCACACCCACCCTTCCACCCGATTGGCAATGTTGGTGAGGCGGCACCAGACAAGAAACACCTGGCCAGCTGGGCTGATTTCTTCACAGCAACTCTCACAGCAACTGGGCCGGGCTGTCTAGGGGGTTGGGGGGTGGATATATTTAACGTCTCTAAGTCCCCCCTTCCCACCCCAGGGGGACGCGTAGTTGTTTGTACCGATGCCCTATAATAGGGTTTGGATGGTTATTCTGCCGCGTGACTAGCTCACACCGTAGATGGGAGAGAGAGGTTGCCTGGGAGCAGTACCCTCAAGACTGCATAGTTAGAATCATGGGTGAAAGGTTGCCACACGCCTTCACCTCATATCTATGCGTCAAACTGTAATCATGTCCCAACCTGTATCTGCGTTATTTTCAACTGCACTTGGTAGGAATCCATGCAGTCGTGCTCGTTCTAATCGCAGTTTCCGTGTGTTACCCTTGCCTTTCAGCTCAGGTCCCCTACACGGTGGTAATGTCCCTTGGGTAACGTTTCAGGGGTTGTGGCCAAACGCCTCATGATGGACATGCCATTTTTAGGAGAAACATGCCGACTAGAGCCCCAAGGGGGGTCTTTTAAGTACTAAATTACCTGAATAGTCAGCACTTAATATCAAAATGAGAAAAAACCTGCAACATAGGGTCGGGAATTTTTAAATTTTATTTGATCTGGTTGAACTCAAGATATGAAAATGAATTTAAAAAAATACCTCCATTTCCGCTGCTCGTAGCTGCCCAAAAAATAATGAACGTAACATCTTGCCCATTAACACCACAAAAACAAGGGCCTGGATGTAAATAACCTGGATAAAAAAAATAATATAAATGTATAACTTATTATTATGCCAATTATATTCAAATTTAAAGTTACCATGGCAAAACTTATACATTTTGTAAAGTGAAGAAAAAACTTAAGAAGTAAATAAAAATGCATAGGCATAGGCTAATTTAAAGAGGCCTATCTTACTATGCATAAGGGAGTAGATTATGTTCTACTCATTACAGTTAAGACTAAAATCCCATCTTACTAAATCTAAGACAGGATCTTAACACTTTTCTTCAATAGTAGTAAGTAGTAGGGGTGTGCCGGATCCGTTTTTTCCAACCGGATCCGGATCCGGATTTTCTTATGCGAAATCCGCCGGATCCGGATACCGGTTTCTCCCGGATTCCGGATTTTGGTACTATTGGTAGATACTTCGGTAAGTCAAGGTGGACTACTACTTTTTGTGTATGGGAATTCGCAATCGGCGCCAAAAAATCCGAGTTTTTAATTTTCCGATGTGTGTGTCTATTTATTATTAAATTAGTACTTTCGATATATATTTGAGTTCCGTTCCATTTGGATAAGTGTCTTACGAGAGACGCCATGTTTCTACGCGTTCGCAGCAGGTTATGCAGCTCGCTCAACCTAATTTCGCCATGGGGTTGGCCACGCCCCCCTTTTTAATGGCGGAAGTTGACGATACTTAGGAAATATTAATTTATTATCACTATTTACATCAAAATAATTGATAACTTGTGTTTCAGAATGCATTTAAAGACATTTAAACTGGAATGTTTTAATTTGAGCTTTAACAACCCGGTAGAATCCATATTATAAATGATCAGAATTTACCGTGTGCAACACGTTGTCATTGGCAACCATTCACAGCCACTTGCATAACTGTATCGTAGTACTACCTCAGAGTTTCATTCATAAGAGTTTGCCGTGTGCAAAAACTATTAAACCATTGGTCAGGGAAAGCTTTAATTAATTATTCATGTGCCAAAGTTGAAAGTTTAAACTAAGTCTAAACAGTATTTTAGTGATAAGGCAGGGAATGCGTTGCCTTATATAAACTATATAGTCATTGCGCATGACGGGATTGGTGGAATGAGATCACAGAATGTGGAGATGCAGTCCATGTTAAAAAATGACAAACCAAGTCGTACTTTAAAAATTCATAACTTTAAAACTACAACAGCTAAAAATATGATTTTGGTGTTATAATTCTTTAAAAAATTACATCTTTTCAACTATGCCATTGGTTTATTTTTACAAAAAGTTTAAATTTTCTTATCAAAGTCCCTACACTATTGGCCACTATTAGCGGTGCTGACTCTAGCCTCTGGTATGTACGGAATATTAAACATTAAACAAGCTCAACGCTCGAAACAATCGATTAATGTATCGTGATCGTGTGAAATTCGGGAAAGAGAATTACTTTTATTTCAGATTATGATCCGGTGAGTCACAAAATCTGGCAAATTCCGAAATCCGGTATATTCCGGATTCCGGAATCCGGTTGTTCCGGATACATGTAAATCCGGCGGAACCGGATTTCACCGGATAGTGCAAAATCCGGCGGAACCGGATTCCGGACCGGGGTCCGGCACACCCCTAGTAAGTAGTTCTATCAGTCTATCTCTATTAAGTTTTTATTTACTAGACCCACTAAGAGTAAGAGTAGAGCTTATACTAACTTGACTTGCTTACTTAAATCTAATACTGTTTAGGTCTAGACCTTATTAAGTGTTAGTGTCCTATTACTCTTATTGAGTCATAAGTTAATTTTAGGTCTAATCATGTAACAACTTTAAAATAGACAAGAAAACTAGGGGTAAAAACAATAAAATAAAGTAAGTAGTAGAGAAGATTAGGCTGAGAGACTTAACAAATTGAGTTTTAAAAAGGCAAATTAACAGTATAATAGTAATAGTATTAGTTTAATAGGCTAGTCTTATTAATTTTAGTGGAGTAAGAACTGACTAGTAAAAGTAGTAATTAAGTAGCCTTAATTAAGTAGGCCTACAACAAATTAGGACGGATTGAAAATTAGATAAGTAAGCGAGAAAGATTCAAGGATAATTTTATATTAATTTACAGTGCTCCATGCTGCTGGGTGCCGCCGTCTATGGCTAGACAGGGGTATTTGGGTGAGTGAGGTCAATATTTTTACAAAGCTGTTTTTAAATGAATAATTTTATGTAAAGGTTTTAGATTATTATTATAATAATGTTATGTTTCTTTTTTTTCTTTTTGCTAATTTTTATGTGAAGTACAGAGAGCGTAGCCCTAGGTTGGGGTACTGTACTATGCTGCTATATAAGACCACTGTAATAATAATGTAAAATTAATATTTTAATAAAAGTATTAATATGGCCTATATGCCTGAGTTTATAATATACAGCCTAATAGGAATATATAAAATATATTAATAATTATAGTTAATTATTAGGCCTAGTAACCATCTATAGTCTATAGCCTACTATATTATACATTCATTTTATTTTTTATTAGGCATCACTAGTATCAGTATCAGGGGGTAATTTCACAGAAAAGGGGATGGGGGTAGTAGTAATAATAATAGCTCCGTTGAATGTTTGTAATTTTTAGCAGGGATTCAAGTGTAGCGGTAGTAGTAGTGGTAGAGTAATTGAAGTATTTGGGGACCTATCGAAATCAGGTGCTTTCATCAAATGGCGTTAAGTTATATTCTACTTACGGCCATAGATGGATTTGACTTGGTGATATAAACAACAGTAGGATAAAACTGTTTCTTTTGATAAAATGCATTTCCAATGACAGCTGTAGTTAGCGCGAAGCTCAACCCCGTGAGGAGAAGGGATCTCATTTTCCCCTCCAGTTTTTCTTTTATTTTGGTTTTCGGCTTCGTTCCTGTAAACGTATAAGGTGACGTGAAAACAAGATGGTGGTTCGAATGTTTACGTCAGATTTAGGTCAAATTAAACTAAAAATAGATATATCTCGTGGCTTTGCTTTATTTGGTCTAGTATCAAGTAAACAATAAGCAACCGGCAATTGAATTAAATAAAATGTTTGCTTCTGCTTATTTTTAAAATAATTTTTTAGCTTAATTAATTGGTCAAAGTGACTTAATAAATAAAGAACCGCTTTTTAAAGCTATTTTTCTTCTTGGAAGGAAATAAGACTTTGTTTAGCCTGGATTTTAATGGATATGAATCAAATTTAATTAATGGGACCGTGCAACGTGATTTTATAATTTATATATCGCGAATACCGGAATAGGGTAGGGGGCTTAATGGGGTAGGATTATAGAGAGCAATGCTATATAACATGTAACGAATCTTTTTATTTGCAGTTTTATTTTTTAATCAGTTTCTATTTTTACAAAATTTCTACTTTTCAAAATAACGTACGCAATTAGCCTAGATTGGAGTCCTTTAAAACCGATTTAAAGAAAGACTTTGACTTGGTATGCTTGTAATTAGTTTTTGTAGTGTTGCGTTTGTTTTAAATGTGGTAAATTATATAGATCTATGTATTTATATATATATTTTTTTTTTACTTTTTACCGCGCTTCGAGCCTTTGGGGATGAAGCGTGTTTTTGAAATAAACTTTATTATTATTATTATTAGATTATTTACAACTAAATAGTTTGTTTTTTAAAAAAGGGGCCGTCCATAAAGTACGTCACGCTCCAAAAAGGGGGGGGGGGGGAAGAAAGGGGGACAATTTGTGACGGGGGGGGGGGGGGGGGCCCGGCCATGTGTGGCGGCCCACATTTTTTTTTTTAAATTTTTTTCTTATTTATTTTTTTTTTTTTTTAGGGGAGTAAGAAAGTGTGACAATTTGTGACGGGGGGGGGGAGGCGGTCCAGGCCATGTGTGACGTCACACATTTATTTTTTAACATTTATTTCTAATTTATTATTTATTTTTTTTAGTAGAACTTAATAGCTTTAACAACAGGTTTCAAAAATTTTGTGAAACATTTGAATTGATTTTATGTCAAAATAGCATGCAATGCGTATCTCCTGTTCACGATTCCTCTCGCTAGGAGCGCTAGTAACTATTCTACCATTAAAGTCATTTTAATAATGTGAATCATCGAAGTCGAAATTTTATATTTTAATACACTTAAGGAATTGTGTTTTACATTAAATTTTAATTAGGTGTTAATTAGAAAAAAATGAAAAATTGTTCGATAGTGTGGCGTACTTAAAGGGGGGGGGGGGGGTTTCCAAGGTTTGTGCCGGGGGGAAAAAGGG